ACTATGACTCTATTGTTCATTTTTAATTTAACAGAATTGTGATCAGAGCATATAATGTGTATATTAGCACTTTCAGTTTATCAAAATTTTTTTATGGTCTAATATGTGGTCAGTATTTATTTTAAAAGTTACATATGGACTTGAATATAATGGTTTCTATTTGTTGATTAAGATGTATATGTATGTATATAAATTGTGCCTGTGTAATGGTTATGTATAGATATGTATATTTAGGCAAAATATGTTTGTATATTAATATATGTGTGTGGTATATATAATATGTATAACATATTACATATATACATATGTGTTCATGTATACTGCAATTATATACATGTGCACAAACACACACACACAGACATACAGAATACAGTTGGTAAAAGTGTCGTTCAAATTTCTTACTATCCTACTAATTTTTGTGTTTTTCATCTTTCAGCTTCTGAGAGGTGTGAACTGAAATGTTCTTTTGGGACTGCAGATCTGTCAATTTCACCTTTTAATTCTGTCAGGCTTTTATTTCAATACCCATTTCTGTATTTTTGGGCATGCAATTTCACATTTTCTATGTATCTCTGGGGATAAGCATCACTTTTATAGAGTATTCCTATTTATATCTCTTGATGCTCTTTGTCTTGAATAGATTTTCTCTAATGTTATTGCTATATCAGATTTTTATTAGTGTTTGTATAATATATACTTTCCTACAACTGTATTTTCAACTGTCTGTTATTTTGCATCAAGTATATCTCTTGCAGCAACATAGATTCAGATCTTACACATTTTCCATGTTATTGCTCACCATTATTTTAGCCCCACCTGTTTACCTCTCTCAAAAGTCATTTTAGTTTTTATAGTCAATCAATGCTAGCATACAGTTAACAACAATTTTTTCTTTTTATTTTTGTATGCCAGTCTTCTATGTTAAATTTTTCTTCTTTCAGAAATTGCATCTTATTGTCTAAAGATGTCATTATTTTTCTCATTTTGCTGCAGGTTTTTGTGATTCTAAGTTGATAGTTATTGATCTTCGAATCTCGCCTGTCATATTAGACTATTGAACGGGAGTTGTGTCAGAATTACTGGCAGGCAGTTTTGAATTTGCCTGAGCTGGAGGACCTATGGGTTTCATTAAATCAGGAGCTTTTGTTTTAATTTTTTTTTCTTTTTTTTTTTAGATGGAGTTTTGCTCTTGTTGCCCAGGCTGGAGTGCAGTGGTGTTATGTTGGCCCACTGCAACCTCTGTATCCCAGGTTCAAGCGATTCTCCTACCTCAGCCTCCTGAGTAGCTGGGATTACAGACTTGGGCCACCATGCCCAGCTAATTTTTGTATTTTTAGTAGATACGGGGTTTTACCATGTTGGCCAGGCTGGTCTCGATCTCCTGACTTCTTCATCCACCTGCCTTGGCCTCCCAAAGTGCTGGGATTACAGGCATGAGCCACCACACCAGACTATTTTCTTTTTGGCTTGATGTCACCATATCACATTAGAAGCCTGGATTCAGAACTCACACCTACTTTCGAAAGTGGCCAGGCCAACTTTTTTTCCACACTGGGCCTTGGAAGACAGTAGCTTCCTTTGCCAAGGACAGGAGTCCCTTCTGTGGGCAGCAGTGTGACCCTAGCCCCCAGCCGTTGGGGCCTATGCCGTTCCCTGGTTCCCCCATGAGCCTGCCAAGTGGCTTCAAGTCCCATGCACCATTGACTTTGAATTACTTGTCCTTATTTTGCTTTTGGGTATTGCCTTCTTGGCGGGAGGCAGAAGGTTAAACATCTCTAAACACTGAAGTTTCTTTTTAAATTCAGCTTTTACAAGCATTTGAAATGAGAAAGGAGATTTTTCCCTAGCAGCTTAGCCTGGTATCCTCCTTATTAGCCTATAGCTCTCCTAGAGCATGCCTCTGAATGGCGTGAATCTAAACAGCTAAATAGTGGGAGAGACTCTTGTCACCTTGCAAACCATATAGGTGATTTTGATCAGTGGGATATAAAAAGATCAGCTCTGGTCATGGCTAATGTCCCCACAAGAGACTGGACTCTTGGGCTATATGCCCACCATGAGAAACACTAGGCTATTATTGTATAGCATGTGGAGAAGCTGGCATTAGCCAAGGCCTGTAGGCACTTCCAACCTGAGCATGTTGGAGCCTGCAGAATACCATGGCCTCATCTTCTCCTTGCTTCAGCCAAACTCTACATGTGCAACAAAGTCCAGGCTCCTGTGTGTGGCTTTCAAGAACCCTGATTAGCCCCTTTGGCCCATAGAGAAGTTCTTACGGTCCTATGAATGAAATGTCTGCATCCCCCCAAATTCATATGTTGAAACTCTTATCCCCAGTGTAATGGTATTTGGAGGTGTGACCTGTGGGAGGTGATTAGGTCATAAAAATAAATCTCTCATGAGTGGGATTAGTGCCCTTATAAGAAGAGACACTCTTTATCATGGGAGGACACAGTAAGAAGATGGCCATCTGTAAACTAGGAAGAGGGAGCTCACTGAAACCCAACCACACTGGTACCCTGATCTCAGATTTCCAGTCTCCAGAACTGTGAGAAATGAATGCTTGTGTTTAAGCCACCCAGTCTGCAGTAGCTCAGACTAAGACATGCAGTTTTCTGAAAGCAACATCCTCTTCTTCATCACTGTGTCTTTCCATGTACCATTTTCTCTGTCCAGCTGACTTCCCCACCCCTGTCTTGGAAAACTTGCCCTCATGCTCTGAGACAGACCTCAGGGATCACTGAATTTGTTAAGCTTTCCTGTCCTTTCACACTTCGACCCTGGCAGTGATTAGCATTCCCTCCTGTCTATGGCAACTTTGGCCTGTACAAAAAAAGCTCATTGCAAAATGTATTCATAAACTTTTCCCTGCCTCCCTAACAACAATGTAAGCAATGAAAGGGAAAGAATGTGTTTTACTTGGTTTTACATCCCAGGCATTTGACATGGTGTCTGGTGCAAGACTGATGCTCAATAAAGTAATGTTAAGTGAATAAGGGCATCTGTGTGAGCAAAGACTTCTAATTCCTTTCTGGTCTCCACTTGACCAGCCTTTTACACACAGGCCCCTGAATCCCTGCTCCCACCTTAGGGCTGAAACCAAGCCCTGAAACTCAGCTCAGTCAGCTAGTAGCCCTGATCCTGAACTCCTCCTGGGAATGTGGCCCATGAAATAATTTATTGTCTTTGTGTATCTCAGCTTGAGCCTAGGCTACAGGCTTGTCTTCATATGTCAGGAAACCCAAGGAGTAGGAACAGCCCAACGTAAATTTATATTAGAGGGTGAGCAAACTCTTCTCAATGGAAGAAGGATTCAGGCACAAAGAGCCTCTCATCTTTTCCCAAAGCACAAAACTGCAAGGATGGACTTGATTCATTCAGTCAATGTTGTTTTCAGTGCCGACTGTATTCTGGAACTGTGCCCAGGAATGGGGTATTGCAGTGAGCAAGGCAGGTGTGATCTCTCACCTCCCGGATCCTGGAGTCTGGATTGGAATCCATTAAAACAATTTAACTTCAACCTCCAGATCTCACCAACTGTGACTGCAAATATGTCATGTAACCTTTAGTATTCAAACCAAAGCAATCTGGAGCAGTCTACTTGGACAGATTTCCTAGAATCACACCTTGCCCTCAGGTTTGTTGTTCTCCATGTTCCCTCACGATCTGTTCTCTGCCCTGCTTGGTGCCCCAGGAGGGCTACTTGCTCTCTCTAGATTTTAGCTAACAGCAGCCAGAAGGAAGTGCCTATGGGGTATTGGAGGATAGGAGGAGAGAGAGATTGGGTGGGTGGGGAGAGAGAGAAAGAGACAGCAAGGAGGGGGTGTGAGAGAGGGGGTAAGAAAGAGAGGAACGAGAAAGAGGAAAGAGAAAAAGGAGAGAGAAGAGAGGGGAGAGAAAAGAGAAGGCAGGGAGAAAGAGCAGAGAGGGGGGAAGAGAGAGGCGGAAGAGAGAGGGGGTGAGAAAGAGAGGGAGAGAGGAGAGAGAAAGAAGAGAGTGAAGAGAGGAGAGAACGGAGTGGAGAGAGAGAGAAGAAAGAGGAGGAGACAGAGGGAGAAGGGAGAGAGAGGGGTGTGTGTGTGTGCGAGTGTGAGTGTGTGTGTGTGTGTGTCTGTGAAGGTTCTTAATCCCCTTAGGCTTTTCCTGAGTCATGCTTCCTCTGTTCCTCTAATTATGCTCATCTGATTCTGTTTAGCCTTAGGGATGGCAGCTCCTTCCCCTTGGACTTGTAGCCCTAGTTTAGTAACAGCTTTCTTCTGTTGATAGCCCTGGGGTTCCTCACTATTCCTTGTTGACTGGCTGATAGCTGGGCTATCCAGGCATCTCAAGTTAGGCCTCGTTGATAGAGCTTGTTCTGCTCTTGCCTAACTTGGTGTTCTTCCCCACACCCAGCGAGATCATCTGCCAATAAGATGAGACTGGGGAGTGTAAAACTGTGGCTTATTCACTGACAGTCTACAGTCAAACCCTGTGCTAGACTTTATTCCTGCCTACACCTCTGCAAAATGTCTCTTCACTGGACACTCTCTCATCATGCTTTTGAATGCACCATCAGTTTCCTGCTGAGACCTTGATTGACATATGTACCATGCTTCTCCCTCCCTCCTTCACACACCCAGCCTGGTCCCATGATCCTTGAAGACTTTCAGGTGAGTCACATTGTGCACAGTGTCCTTGACATTCATGCTGGTGTAGGGTAAACACACCTGATAGCAATAACTCCAGCGTAACCTTAGAATGAACCCCATGGCAGACACACCTGAATGTGTTTTCTGAGTTAGGGGATCTGGGAGTGGCTAACCCAGAGATTCATTTCTTGTCTATGAGTAACATTAAGCCCCAGGCCCAACCAATGGAACACGGGCCATACAAGGGATTAAGGCCCTGAGTTTTGGATTAAATGAATGTTGCCCGGTGGAGGTCGTTAAGGGGAGACTGTTACGTGAAAATGTTATATAAGCTGCAGGCTACTTGCAAGCAGTTGCAGTTTTCCTCCCCAACCCAAGACCGCAGGACTGTGTGTTTCTCTTCTTCAGCTCCTGTCACTGGACTATAGGACTGTGGATATGTTGTCCGGACTACTTGCATTTCTGTAAGTAAGGTGGTTCTTCGTTTCAGCCTGCCACCCTGGACCCTCTCCCCTGTATGTAAGCCCCTAGTAAAACCCCATGTAACATTTCCTCTCTCTTTTCTCCCTCTCTTTCTCACCCCCTCTCTCTTCCCCCATCTCGGGGTGGGGGGTCTCTGGGTCTCTTCTTCTACCTCTTGAACCTGTTGCCTTCCCTACTGAGGTTAATAACGGAGGCTGGGCACAAAAACTGGTTCCTTCCACTATATTGCAGAAGTTGGGCTATCCAGGCATCTAAAATTTTGTCCTGTCGATACAGTTTTTTCTACTCTTAAAAACTTGGCTTTGATTCCTGTCATGGGTTGAATGATAACCATCAAAAAATGTATGTCCAAGTCCTCGTTTGTGGAACTTATAAATGTGACTTTATTTGGAAAATAAAGGGTCTGCAAGGGTCTTGCAGATGTAATTAAGGATCCCGAGATAGAGTGATTGTCCTAGGTTATCCACGTGGGCCTTAAATCCAATAGCAGTGTCTCTAGAACAAGGAAGTGTTCTGGGCCTTGAACTCGTTCTATCATAAGGTAATAGCACCGCTATTTACATTTGCCCTGCCTTTCCCTATAACCTATAATCTCCCTATATTAATGGGCATGGAGATTGGGGTGGCTGGAATCCATTGGCCTGCACACAGTGGCCCCAGCACAAAGGGTGGTTACTGGCTATGGATTTATAAAACCAAAAAATCTGCTCTGCTGCTTTTCCTAAAACAAAGGAAATTGCTGGAGAGATGAAGTTGATACTTCTATGGAGTTGTAAATGACACTACTGCAGTTTAGAAAACATGCCACAGAAAACCAGGCAACTGAGATAAACATGCAGGAGGACTGAAACTAGTTGAAGAAGTTGGAAAACTTGTTTGTTTTAGACAGAGTCTTGCTCTGTCACCCTGGCTGCAGTGCAGTGGTGCGATCTCAGCCCACTGCAACCTCTGCCTCCTGGGTTCAAGCAATTCTTGAGCCTCAGCTTCCCAAGTAGCTGGGATTACCGGCACCCACTACCATGTCCAGCTAATTTTTGTATTTTTACTAGAGACAGAGTCTCACCATGTTGGCCAGGCTGGTCTCGAACTCTTGGGCTGAAGTGATCCGCCCACCTTGACCTCCCAAAGTGCTAGGATGACAGGTGTGAGCCACTGCGCTCACCCAGAAAAACTTGTTTCTAAGAAAATGTCAGATATTCCCTGGGGGCTGCCCTGATAAGGACACAAAGTCCAGAAGACTTGCCTTAGGTGTATGTGGAAGTGGAGAGTCTTATTACAGATGGTGAAAACTGGGAAAATGTGGACCACACAGTCATTCTTCCAACTAAATGTTTGAGGACCTAACATATGACTGGCACCAGTGTCTAAAAGACAAGTATACGCCCCATATACACAATTAGAACTGGTCTCTAGCCTTAAAAATGGGGTCAGTAATTTGAACTATGAGTTACTAAATATTATAGATGTTATGCTAGAAGTCTCTATAGGGTATAGAGTGAATAAGATAAAAAGGAGGTGGAAAACTCTATGGGAGAATGACACTGGTTCCTGCATTCTCTATGGGGGTGACACCGCCCCACAAGAGGGCAAAAATTGTTTCATGGGTGGGTGTGGCAGCAAAAAATCATAATTACGTTATAATAGCTTGTGGCTCTCCAAAGTGCTGCATTACATAAGCAGATATAAAGCACACCTGTATTACTAAAATTTCATAGTCGGTGGCATTTAAAAAAAAAAAGTCTCAAGTCTGCTGGGGGTGTCAGTAATGAATAAAAGTGGTTGGGAAATCTTTAACGAAGAGGGCTCATCCCCTAAACAGTGGAGGGGGGAGAAAAAGCAACAGCATAGCATGGAGCAAGCCTAAAGGAGGGCAATGTAATGGCATCACTGGGGCTAGGAGGGAGTGTGATTCTTCAGGAAGATTAGTCAGCCTGGAGAGGTGGGTTCGAAGGAGACAGCAACAAGTGATAATCTTGGGGAGGCAGATGGACCTGATTCCACTCTGACATCTCTCAGACCAGTTGGGACTGCTATGTTGGATCCAAGGCTAAGACATGTGCTAACAAGAGCTGCTATTGTCAACATGCCTTGCTGCCAAGGCTTTCCCTTTGGCCTTGACTCATTTGACATTGATACTGGCTGGTCCATACCAGATTAGCTTTGGACCCCTCCTGTCAACAGACCATTCTTTCTGTTTCCACCAGTTAACTCTCTGCTTCTAGAGCAAAGTTGTCTCCCTCCTCTTCTTTGCAGGCCTTGTGACTAGGGAGGCCAGTCATCTCATTCTGCCCAGGACATGAGACTTTGAGTGTTAAAACCAGGATAGTTCAGGGCAAACCAGGTGGGTGGGTTACCCTACTTAGGACTGAGACTACATCCTTTTGTTCTGCAACGGGTACAGAAATTTGACAACCAAGCATCTTTTCTCTCATGTCCTTCACCCAACTATTCAAGCCCTTGTCCTCTTGCTGCTTAGAACAGCAATTCTCAACCACGGCTGCAAATGAGAATCACCTGGAGAACTTTTACCCCACCCCACCCCCGCCCCCGCTGCTTAGGGCATACCCTAGGACAATTAAATCGGAATCCTCTTGGAGTAGAACCAGGCATCTATATTTTTTAAAAGCCTCCCAGATGATTCCCATATATAGCCAAGGTGGAAACCATTGGCTAAGAGCAGCAGCAGTGATTATTGATGTAAAATAGCCATCACTTTGAGTTGACTCTAATTTGGAGGGACTGTTACTTTTTTAACCTTGAAGATTTAACACATATGCCTCAATATTAGGGCCATGAGTACATTGGTCTGTCAATACTTTGGAAATTAGTCATTAAGTCAATAGTTTAAACTGAAATTATATATAGAAACACTTTTCTAGTACCTATATGTCTCTGGTTTTTATCTCTGCACATATTCCTTTTCGGCAGGTTAGAATTAATGGAACAAGGCAGTCTCCATTTGCAGGAGTTTACATCACATGAAAAGGATCTCAGATTTAAAATCAACCAGTAATACTTAAAACTAATGGTTTACTGCTGTTAGCAGCTGGTAGGCCTCTCTGAAGCTGGCATGAGTAATCTCTAACCATTCCCATCAATAACCTTCCCTGTGGTGTTGTCCCTGGGGATGCTGTCACCATTTGGAAAGATTACCCATCCATGTGAATGGTTAGCATGCATGGAACCACTTGCTAACATATGAAAGAAATAAAGGAATTAGCTTACAGCTGAAGCGCAGACTCACGAAATAATGTTAGCTTTGAGAAGAGCTACAGAGGCATTGTACTAAAGCCCAATGAATATTCCTGGGACCTTCCATAAAGCCAACCTTATTAGTAGCCGTTTTTGTTTGTATTATCTAGCAACAGCCTTAAAGAGAAACCTCTGCCCCTTATACATGCAAGTGTATCTGATTTGAGCTTGAGTCTGATTCACAGTATTTGAAAATGTTTTTCTTAAGGATTTTTTTTTTAAACCAATGGGATTTAAATGGGAAATAAACATAGCAGTGTTTGTCTTCCTCTATGAAGAGGAAAAGCATGACATTTTGTAATGAGGATAATATTTTGAAAACTATTCAACTATTGCATTTAATGGGAGTATATTCCTAGTCTCTGGCTGCCCCTTGGTTTCATGTGAGCTAGTCTGAAGCACTCAAAGTTTTCACTTATACAGGAGAGAACATGAGGCCTCCACTGTAAGGAAAAAGAGCATCTCTCAATAGACTAGAAGAAACAGGTAGAAAATCTGACCCTGCTGGTCATTGAATGTGTAAAAAAGAGACACCTTCTCTTCCTTTCTCCACCATCGTGGTATGTGCTTGACTCCGCGTCTCACCATGTCTTCTCACAAGACTTTCAGGATTAAGCAATTCCTGGCCAAGAAACAAGCAAAATCATCCCATTCCCCAGTGGATTCGGAGGAAAACTGGTAATAAAATCAGGTACAACTCCAAAAGGAGACATTAGAGAAGAACCAAGCTGGGTCTATAAGGAATTGCACATGAGATGACATGATCTATTCTGTCTGAAGGTCACAATCACGTTACCATATCAAGCTGAAAATACCACTATCTGAAGAGTGGGACCTGTTTTATTGGGAGTATACTTTTTCTCTCTGGATCTGTTATTAACATGTTGGTTGGCTGGGTTCAGTAATAAATATGTGTAGACCTTTCATTTCAAAAAATAGAGATGTCCTCATGGGTGTCTCTGGGCCAAAATCCTGGAAGGGGTGGGGACTAGTAAGGGTCCGAATATTCTAGTCATAGTACTTCAGAGTCTCATAGTTCCTGTCTATTCCAGGGTCCAATTAGCCCTGTGAATTGTGGATGACAGAGCGGGACAGCACCAAGTGACTATGAAAAATCTTGGCCTTCATACGTTTTTGACTGATGTGAGTGGTTGGTTTGTGTAATAGAAGGCACGTTGCTGATTATATTGGTTCATCGGAGCTGTATGTTGTATAAGTCTCTATAGGCACTACAGTATATTAAATCCAGAGCATGGGGTCAGGGCAAATATAACGTAATATAACGTAAAGCAGTCCTGGCCCTTCTTCCACATGGGATGTGCACAGCAGCGGATGACAGAATATCTTGATGGGGCAGATAAGGGATAACATATTGGAAACTAGCAGGCCCAGAAGACAGCATGGGGGCCCATGCACTGGAGCAAGGACATCCTTCTCATCACTCCCAGGAGGTCAAGTGAGCCCCATCATGCACCCTCAGGTCATCTTCGGTAGAGCAATGGAAAGAGGGGGAAATGTAAAAGGCTGAGTAATTATCTGAAGGGAGACTGGGTTATCTTAGTGATGCTGTTTAACCAGAAGTTGAAACACATTGACTAAGTTAGTGCTTCTCACCACCACTACCCCTCCCTCTACCCCAAGCCCACCCCAACTGGGACTCAGAGGAACATGAGAAAGGTTAGATCAATTATACAGAAACAAAATCTACGTCTTCAACAGAATCAGCAGAGAATAAATTCTCCATTTCTCACTATGTGACTTTGGGCAAGTCCTCCATGTATTTACTCACAGATACCCTGTACTTGGTATCATAGCAGGCACTGGCAATACAGTGAAAAGTGTCTTCAGATAGGCCACCTGCTGTCCCCACTTCCCTCTATCTCTCTTCTCTTTCAAAACCTAGGGCCTGGAGTCAAATAATTAAATCTTTTCTCTATTTCAAAAGCAGGTTAAAAAAAAAAATCTTTAAAAAAGGTATACTTTGGGAGGCTGAGGCGGGTGGATCACAAGATCAAGAGATAAACCATCCCGGCCAACATGGTGAAACCCTGTTTCTACTAAAAATACAAAACTTAGCTGGGCATGGTGGCATGTGCCTGTAGTCCCAGCTACTCGGGAGGCTGAGGCAGGAGAATCGCTTGAACCCGGGAGGCGGAGGTGGCAGTGAGCCAAGATCGTACCACTGCACTCTAGCCTGGGTGACAGTGAGACTCCGTCTTTAAAAAAAAAAAAAAAAGTATAAAAATATACTTCACACTCATTGAGGATTAAAGTGTGGATAATTATAGCTAAGACTACAGGTGTTCTGGTGAGTTTACTTTTTCTTCCAAAAAAAGAAAAATCAAAAGTTTTTGAAATAAACTCCCCTAATATGTGTTAACCTCAATATTAGCATTTCCATCTCTCCAGTGTCACTTTCCTTGTACATCTGGGGAAGGGGATCGTCTCACTTTTTCTTCCTGCTTTGCTGGCTGCCTGCTCCATATGGTGGGCTTCTCTACACCTTTACCTCAGTCTCACCCATGAACTGTCACTCATGTTTCTCAGCATCCTTGTTCCTTAGAGCCTTTCCACTAGCCCAAAGATCCCAATGTACCACTTACCCCAAACGTTGTGCAGTTTATATAATTTATTGTAAGACTAGAATAACTGAAAAGACTGAGGGAGGGCACTTAAGCATTTGATTAGACACCTGCTTACATTCATCCCCACTCACCATGAGCATTGCTTCTCTGTCTTGAAATCTACCTCAAGCTCCCACTGCCAGAGAACCATGATACTCAGTTTACCTGTGAGATCCCTTACCCTCTTTAGAAAAGTTTTAGCCCCTATCCAGAGAGGCTTTTAAAAAGATTCATTTTACTCTCCCAATCAGAGAATCTGGGACACTAAAATGCCCCCAAAATACATCTCTCCAATTGTGAATTATTCAGTATGTTGTAATAAAATGTGCAAAGGGTTGGCCAAGATAAATATATAAGCCCGTCAAGTCCAGCAGCACCTCCCAGGAAAATGTTTATGTTCTAGGGTTAAGCTTTCTACACCACTGTAATGTGGACATATATAGCCTTCCCTTTTTTTTTCAGGAACTTTGTTCAGTTTCCTCTTTAATTTTTGGAAAATATACAGAACTATGCACACACAGATATAGGTTCCTTTAGCTAACTCCTGGAAACAACACACAATTATGCAGGCACAGATACACCTTCTGAAGACAATAGTTAAGGAGGACTTTAACTTATAGATAGAACAGAAAAGATCCAAAAGACTGTACTTCCATGGTAGCAACAAGAAACAGGATGAGGAAAAAAATCTCCGTTATGTATAGTGCTATTAAAGAGTGGGGATTAAAGGAAGTCTTAATAAATTTCAGAGGACGAGCACTTGTTAGGCAAGAGAGACACATGGCAGTTTCAACACCCAGGAGCAATAGTCTGATGTGCCCTAACAAAAACCTACGCAAATGCCCACTAGCAGGAGAATGCATAAACACATCGTGGTAAAATCATACCACAGAATATTATTCCATAATACAAAACAAAGTACTGATGCATGCAATGTTACGGATGAGTCTCAAAACTATTATGCTGGGTGAAAGAAGTCAGACACGAGTGCACACTGTAAAATTCCATTCTTTCTGAAATTGAGGAATAGACAAGTCTCCTTTACATTGATAGAAATCGGAAGAGTAGTTGCCTATGTAAGAGGGATGGACTGGAAGGAGGCTTGAGGGAACTTTCTGGGTTGATAGAATTGTTTCATATCTTGTTTGGGGTGTCATCGACACGTATGTATGCATTTGTCAAAGTATATCACAATAATGTACATATTACGCTATACATAAATATATTGCACTCTTATTGTGTATTTCACTATAAGTAAATTATACCTCAATTTCAAAGAAGATAGTTCAAAAATCATAACTTTTCCTCAGTTATACAATGTCCTCTAAATTTTAAAAACATATTCTAGGCTGGGTGCGGTGGCTCATGCCTGTAGTCCCAGCACTTTGGGAGCTCCGAGGCAGATGGATCATGAGGTCAGGAGTTTGAGACCAGCCTGACCAATATGGTGAAACCCCATCTTCACTAAAAATACAAAAATTAGCTGGGCGTGGTGGCATGTGCTTGTAATCCTAGCTACTCTGGAGGCTGAAGCAGGAGAATCTCTTGAACCTGGGAGATGGAGGTTGCAGTGAGCCAACATCGTGGACTGCACCCTAGCACGGGCCACAGAGCAAGACTCCATCTCAAAAAAGCAAAAAACAAAACCATATTCTTCATAACACTTTGTAGTGTTGTGAGCGGCCCGTGATAAGCACTTAGCAGATGCAGTTGAACACATACAGAATCTGAAGCCTTTCTGGCCTGATATCTATCATGGCATTTCAGACCCCATGCCCTTATTCAGTGAACCCACGTGATGCGGCCAGTGTGGACAGTTCAAAGAGCACAGATGGGAAAAAGGCTACTGTCTGAGATGAAGCATGTCACTTATATGCAATACTAGATGCTGGCCCATTCCTAGGTGTACACATTTGCTCATAATGGTAATCAAGGCTTAACAGGTGGAAGACTTTTACTACTCTTAAAACTCAGCTAAGAGTTAACTTTCCGAAACCCCAGCTTCCTGATCAGAGGCAAAGTCATAAGTTCAGATAAACCAACAGCCCATGGACACTTCCTTGTTCTATAAAAACTCTAAATCTGATGCAAATACTGAAACTGGATAGAGACATAAAGGTTAGTTGTTTCTTGATCAGCAAAACTAGACTCTGATTTCTTTTCTGCTGTAGCCTTCTGGAGGTGAGATCTGGGAACACCAATCAGAAAAAGCAGGAAGATCATTCTTCAGGGAGCTTGTGTGCCTGCCTGAAAAGTTGGCTAGACATTCATCAGTTGACAGGTACACTATTTCCTCTGTGAAAAAGTAGCCCATAAATGCAATAAATCTTTTCTTAATGCAGTGACAAAGGGTTGAGAATGAACTTCAGTTTTCAGTCTTTGAAACAAAAGAAAAGTTCACGGAATTCCATGTGGTCTAAGGGGAAGGAGTAGCGGTCAGGCAGGAGGCAAGGAGACATTTGTTGGGAATGTTTTTTCTCACTTGTCTGAGAGATTTTCCAGAATTTAGTCTTTATCTCATGCCCTGAACATCCAAATGCACAAGTATAAACTGGAAATGCCGCAGTCTTCGTGCTAAGCTTGAGACTAACATCAGTACAGGGAGGAAGATGCTGTCCAGAGAAGCACGGAGAAAAAGGCCAAGACCATTAGATTAGGTCTAACTTAGAGGCCACTCTTCCGACTCTCCAATCTTGTGAGCCAAAAGCAGTCATTATTGTTTATGCAAATCTGAGTATTTTTCTTCTTAGTGCCAAAGAATCTCACCTCATATTGTACTGAATATTTGTTGAAATTACATATGGTATTTTCCTGAAAATTCAGATACCTTTTGGAAAAGATTGATTATAATTGCCACATATGCTCTAAAGATGCTCTCCTCTATATTCCGTGGAAAGGTATTTTTAAGTCAACATATGGAACAACAATAACCTTGTGTTCAGAGTGAGCATGAGAAAGAATGTGAGGATTACTTCCTAAGTAGCTTATATTGTAGAAGACTTTGCTAATGAGTTTGCCAGAATTACCTAAAACTATGTAAGTGATATCTAATCTGTAATTACAGTGTTCTTGGAGAGCCCTTGCGTGTCATACAAACCGGTCACTCACTGACTAGAATCATATGGTCTCTTTGAGCAATGGTTCTTCTTACAAATCCTACAGGATGAAGATAGCAGTGGGGATCAGGAAAACCCATCACCTTGGTGCATATGGAAGCTATCCCAGGCACCTCAACTGCAGTGCCTGTTTTTCACAGCATGAGTTCACTTCCCTTAATCATACTTTATGCTCTCCAAAAATAATGTGGAGGAAGCATACATTATGTACTTAAAGATATACCATCTGTTTTCTTTCTCTGCCAAGAGAGGAATTCCTTATTACAACGAAAGCCTTGGGTCATCATAGGAAGCAGAAAGCTAAGATGAATGCCTTTTCTTTTTTTCACCACAAACATAAGTATAAACTGTTTCCCATGGCCATTCAATAAAACAGGTGAATATTCTTAACTTTTACACACAGGCCATTAATGAAATGCAAACTCAAACAGCCTAAGATTCCATAACATAAAGGTCGTGCTTCTGACTGAACAATAGGAACAAAAGCTGGAATTTTGAAATTACTGCTAATAGACTATGAGGTCCTCTAGGGCAAAAAGTAAGTCTTATTAATCATTTTATCTCCAAAGCCTAGCTCTACCAGGTGTGGGGCAGGTACAGTAAGTGCTCAGCAAATGTATAAAAATACAAAGAACTACTTCTTTTGTGAAATAATATATTAGGCCAGTGATTTCAACCACTGCACATTAAAATCATCTAAGTCACTGCTAAACTATAAAGGTGGCTAAGATTATTTCCAGATCAATTACATCAGAACACAATCTGCACAGGTGAGTCTTACAAGATAGCCATCTGTATATTTAGCATATATGAAGGAAATTTTCTTAAAAAGTAGGTTCATGCGTACATGTGCAGGTTTGTCATATAGGAAAATTATGTGTCATGGGAATTTGACATACAGATTACTTTACCACCTAGGTAACCAGCATAGTACTTGAGAGGTGGACTTTTGATCCTTTCCCTCTTCCTACCCTCTATCCTCAAGTGGGCCTCAGTATCTGTTTTTCCCCTCTTTGTGTTCATGTGTTCTCATTGTTTGGCTCCCACTTATAAGTGAGAACATGCAGTATTTGGTTTTCTGTTCCTGCATTAGTTCATTCAGGATTACACTCTCCAGCTCCATCTACGTTCCTGCCAAGGATAAGATCTCATTATTTTTTATGGCTATATAATATTCCATAGTATATATGTACCACATTTTCTTTATCCAGTCTACCATTAATGGGCATTTAAGTTGATTCCATAGCTTTGCTACTGTGAATAGTGCTGCAACGAACATTTGCTTGCATGTGTCTTCATGGTGGAAAGATTTAAATTCCTTTTGGTATGTACCCAGCAATCCCATTACTGGGTTGAATGTTATTTCTGCTTCTAGATCTTTGAGGAAACACCACACTGTCTTATGCAATGGTTAAACTAATTTATATTCCCACCAGCATAGTTTAAGCATTCTGTTTTCTTCACAACCTCACCAGCATCTGTTATTTTTTGATTTTTCCATAATAGCATTACCAACGGGTGTGAGATGGTGTCTCATTGTGGTTTTGATTTCCATTTCTCTAATGATTAGTTATGTTGAGAGTTTTTCATATGCTTGTTGGCTACAGGTATGTCTTCTTTTACATGTGTCTATTCATGCCCTTTGCCCATTTTTAATGGGGTTGTTTTTACTTGCACATTTGTTTAAATTCCTTATAGATTCTGGATATTAGACCTTTGTTGGATACACAGTTCACAAATATTTTGTCCCATTCCATGGGCTGTTTTCTCTGTTGATCGTTTCTTTTGCTGTGCAGAGGCTTTTTGGTTTAATTAGGCCCCATTTAACAATTTTTGTTTTTGTGGCAAATTTTGTTTTGTTTTGTTGCAATTGCATTTGGCATCTTTGTCATATATTCTTTGCCAAGTCCTATGCACAGAGAGATATTTCCTGGGTTACGCTCTGAGTTTTTATAGTTTTAGGTTTTACATATAAGTCTTTGATTTGTCTTGAGTTGATTTTGTTTATGTGGTATAAGGAAGTGTCCCATTTCAATCCTCTGCATATGGCTAGCCAGTTATCCCAGCACCATTTGTTGAATAGGGAGTACTTTCCCCACTGTTTGTTTTGTTGACTTTGTTGAAGATCAGATGGTTGTAGGTGTGTGGCTTTATTTCTGGGGTTTCTATTATTTTCCATTGGTCTATATGTCTGTTTTTGTACCAGTACCATGCTGTTTTAGTTACTGTAGTCCTGTAATATAGTTTGAAATCAGGTAACATGATGTCTCCAGCTTTGTTCTTTTTGCTTAGGATTGCCTTGACTATTTGAGCTCTTTTTGATTCCATATGAATTTTTAAATAGTTTTTTTTTTTCTAATTCTGTGAAGAATGTCATTGGTAGTGGGATAGGAATAGCATTAAATCTGTAAATTGCTTTGGGCAGTATAGTTATTTTAAAAAATATTGTTTCTTCCTATTCATGAGCACGGAATGTTTTTCCATTTGTTTGTGTTGTCTCCACTTCTTTGAATAGTGTTTTGTATTTCTCATTGTAGAGGTCTTTTACCTCCCTGATTAGATGTATTAGTAGGTATTTATTCTTCTTCTATTATAAATGGGATTGCATTCTTGATTGGGCTCTCTACTTGACTGTAGTTGATGTATAGAAATGCTACTGGTTTTTGTGCATTGATTTTATATCCTGACGTTTGCTAAAGTAGTTTATCAGATCTAGGAGCTTTTGGGCAGAGACAATAGGGTTTTCTAAGAATAGAATTATATTGTCTGCAAACAGAGATAGTTTGACTTCCTCTCTTTTTATCTGGATGCTTTTTATTTCTTTCTCTTGCCTGATTTCTCTGGCTAGGACTTCCAGTACTATGTTGAATAAGAGTGAAGAGAGTGGCCATCCTTTTCTTATTCCATTTCTCAAAGGGAATGCTTCCAACTTTTGTCCATTCAGTATGATGTTAGCTGTGGGTTTGTCATAGACAGCTCTTATTATTTTGAGTTATGTTACTTCGTGCTTAGTTTGTTGAGGGTTGTTAACATGAAAGGATGTTGCATTTTATTGAAAGACTCTTCTGCATCTATTGATATGATCCTGTGGTTTTTAAGTTCTGTTTATGTGGTAAATAACATTTTATTGATTTGCATATGTATATGAAGCCAACTTTGCATCCCAGAAATAAAGCCTACTTGATCATAGTGGATTAGCTTTCTGATGTGCTGCTGAATTCAGTTTACTAGTATTTTATTCAAGACTTTTGCATCTATGTTCATCAAAAATACTGCCCAAAGTTTTCTTTTTTTGTTATGTCTCTGCCAGGTTTTGGTATCAAGATGATGCTGGCCTCAGTAAGAGAGGAGTCCCTCCCTACTCCTCCGTGGTTTTTTTGTTTTGTTTTGTTTTGTTTTGCGGGAGTTGGGGGGTGCAGGGTGCGGGTGGGGAATAGTTTCAGTAGGAATGTTACCAGCCCTTTACAACTCTGGTAGAATTCAGCTGTGAATCTCTCTGGTCCTCGGCTGTTCTGATTGGTAGACTTTTTATTACAGATTCAATTTTGAAACTATTATTCTGTTCAAGGACTTCTTCCTGGTTCAATCTTAGGAGGTTGTATGTTTCTAGGAATTTATCTATCTATTCTAGATTTTCTAGCTTTTGTGTGTAGAGGTCCTCATAGGAGTTTTGAGGGTTTTTGTATCTCTTTTAGGTCAGTGGTAACGTCCCCATTGGCATTTCTGATTGTGTTTATTTGGCTTTTCTTTCTTTTTTACTTTATTAGTCTGGCTAGTGATCTATCTTATTTTTTCAATAACAAACTCCTGAATTTATTAATATTTTGTATACTTTTTCACATCTCTGAGGTCAGCTCTGATTTTGGTTATTATCTTCTAGTTTTTAGATTGGTTTGCTCTTGTTTCTCTGGTTCCTCTAGGTGTGATGTCAGACTGTTAATTTGAGATACTTCTAACTTTTATTTTGGTGTGTAGTGCTGTAAACTTTCCTCTTAACACTGTTCTAGCCATGTCTTATAAATTCTGGTATATCTTTATTCTCATTAATTTCAAAGAATTTCTTGATTTCTGCCTTAATTGTTTACCCAAAAATCATTCAGGAGCATGTTTAATTTCCATGTAATCCTCTAGTTTTGAGCCATTTCCTTACTATTGATTTCTGTTT